CGCCAAGCGGATGTTTCACATGTATCCATCCGGTGAAATACCTGTCTCATTGTTCTACCTGTGCCTTCACCCCTACACTTAACCATTTTAAAATGAAACTTAAAAACGGTAGTGATGTCCCAAGGAACCAGGATGGCACGGACCTTTTGACGGTCACCACAAACGACTTCAATGATTGCAGTCTCATGCCCTTTTCAAAACAACATTTCGCCAGACAAATGTGCTAATATCAGCCATACACTACACGAGTTTGACGACGTCCCAGACGAATTTTCATGATGGTTGTGAAATCCTATGAACTTGGACTAAGATCAGTAAAATCAGGACTCGCGTCGTTTGATGGTTGCTCCTTCTGAAGTCCCCTGTCGGATGGCCTGATAACTTTCGATCCGTTTGGTCGCGCATTGTGACACTCTGGCTCCGGGACTTTTGTATTTGAGCCAGGGTGTATTTGTTTTGTTGGGTTTTGTTGTGGGGTTTGTTGTATAGGGTGTATTCGGTTGGTTGTGTTTTGGGTGAGTTAATTGTGGTGTCGTGTGACTCCCAATCGGAGGTAACGAGTGTCAGCTGTCGGCTCGTTATCTCTGATTGGGAGCCATATTTAAACTGTTTGTGTTCTCATGAGGGTTGTGGGTTTTTGTTCCTGTTTAGTCTTTGTCACTATTGGACTTCACATTCGTCGCTTTGGTTTGTTGTTTTTGGTTGCTTTAAGTAATAAAGTCAACATGTTCTTTTCACTCGCTGCGCCTTGGTCTCCTTCACTCCTCGACGAACGTGACAGAAAAACCCACCTTAAAAGGACCAAGCAGCGTGTCAAGCGGCAACAAGATTTATGGACGCCTATCAAGGATTCATGGACTTGGGAGGAGATTCTGGATGGAAAGGGTCCTTGGGCACAACCGGGAGAGTATCGCCGCCCTCGTGAAGAGCTGGAGGCAGCTAAAGCCGAGAGGAGGCGGTATGAGGAGGCAGCACGGAGTCAAGGCTGGAAGCCCGTGGGTACTACCCAAAAATTTCTTGGGAGGGGGCTAAAAGGGAGTGTGGCGAAGTCAGGTAGGAGACCTGCGCCTACTCCCTGGACTTACCGTGGAGAGCGAGAGTACGGGCAGACACCGTGTTACGCAGTAGAGCGCATGGTGTCTCCTGTACGCAGGCATAGCCCGGTTCGACACATTCCAGCTCCACGTATCGGCCGGGCTAGATTGAGCATTGAGCCGGATGTCATGAAGCCGGCCCAACGCATCAGGCCACCAGTGCGTCTTCTCGGTCCGGCGTACATGGCACCAGCCTTACGCATGGTGTTCCCGGTTCGCCCTCATAGGCCGGTGCGGGTTATTCCACCTCCCCGTACTGGTCGGGCGACGGGGAGCATCAACCCGGGTAAGGTTGGGCAGGCTCAGTGCTCAAGGGGGCCAGTAAGCCTGCACGGTCCGGTATTTCCGGCGCCACCTCCCCGCTCCAGCCCAGTACCACCAGTGCCTACACCACGCACTAGGCTTCCTGTAAGTCTGCAGAGCCCTGTGTCTCCTCCGCGCACTAGCTGTATGGTGCGTGTCTCCAGCCTTTTCCCACCAGTGCCTACACCACGCACCAAGTCTCCTGTGTGTCCCCCGAGTCCTGTGCGTCCTGTTGCTGCTCTCCGCACTAGGCCTTATGTGCGTCCCCAGGGTCCAGCATGCCCTGTTGCTGCTCTCCGCACTAGGCCTTATGTGCGTCCCCAGGGTCCAGCATGCCCTGTTCCGGCTCTCCGCACTAGGCCTTATGTGCGTCCCCAGGGTCCAGCATGCCCTGTTCCTTCTCCCCGCACTAGGCTTTATGTGCGTTCCCAGGGTCCAGCATGCCCTGTTGCTTCTCCCCGCACTAGCCCTGAGATGCGTGTCCTCAGCCCGGTACCTCCAGTTCCGGCACCACGCACCAGGCCTACGGTGCGCCTCAGACGGCCAGAGTCTGCCGTCTGCCCAACGGGGCCTGAACTGCCCGTCTGCCCAAAGGCGCTTGAACTGGCCGTCTGGACTGAGCCTGCAAAGCCGCCCGTCTGCCATGAGCCTTCAGAGCCGTCCGCCAGACCGGGGCCGCTAGAGCCTTCCGCCAGACAGGATCAGCCAGAGCCTTCCGCCAGACAGGATCAGCCAGAGCCTTCCGCCAGCCATGAGCAGCCAGATCCGTCAGCCGGCCATGAGCAGCCAGATCCGTCAGCCAGCCATGAGCAGCCAGATCCGTCGGCCAGCCATGAGCAGCCAGATCCGTCGGCCAGCCATGAGCAGCCAGATCCGTCAGCCAGCCATGAGCAGCCAGATCCTTCAGCCAGCCATGAGCAGCCAGATCCGTCGGCCAGCCATGAGCAGCCAGATCCGTCGGCCAGCCATGAGCAGCCAGATCCGTCGGCCAGCCATGAGCAGCCAGATCCGTCAGCCAGCCATGAGCAGCCAGATCCGTCAGCCAGCCATGAGCAGCCAGATCCGTCGGCCAGCCATGAGCAGCCAGATCCGTCGGCCAGCCATGAGCAGCCAGATCCGTCGGCCAGCCATGAGCAGCCAGATCCGTCAGCCAGCCATGAGCAGCCAGATCCGTCAGCCAGCCATGAGCAGCCAGATCCTTCAGCCAGCCATGAGCCGTCCAGCCAGGATCCGCCAGAGCCGTCCAGCCAGGATCCGCCAGAGCCAGCCAGCCAGGATCCGCCATTGAGTCCGGTGCTGTCCCTTAGCCCGGTGCTGCCCCTTATCCTGGTGCTGCCCCTTAGTCCGGTACTGCCCCTTAGTCCGGTGCTGCCCCTTAGTCCGGTGCTGCCCTTTAGTCCGGTGCCGCCCCTTAATCCAGTGGGGTTTAGTTGGGGGGGTGGTCATGTGGAGGAGGCTACGGAAGCGGATAGTGACTAAGGTGGGGTGGGGACCACGACCAGGGCCAGAACCGCCACCGTGGACAGACGCCCACCCAGACCCTCCCCTAGACTGTATGCTGGTGCGCCCGGAGTTCGCACCTTTAGGGGGGGGTACTGTGACACTCTGGCTCCGGGACTTTTGTATTTGAGCCAGGGTGTATTTTGTTATGTTGGGTTTGGGTGTATTTCTAGGTTTGCCTTTCTGTTGGCTTCATTTCTAGGTTTGGTCTATGACTCCCAATCGGAGGTAACGAGTGTCAGCTGTCGGCTCGTTATCTCTGATTGGGAGCCATATTTATTCTGAATGTTTTCCTGTGGGAATTGTGGGTTTTTGTTCCGTTTCGGTCAGTGTACCGTGGACTTCATTGAGTCGTCTTTTGTTTTGTAGTTCTATAACGTTTAATTAATAAAGTCATGTTTCTTGGACACGCTGCGCCTTGGTCATACTTAGACGACATAGACGACCGTGACACCTGTACAGTTCTGGAACAACATCCTATGGACAGATGAGACATAGATCAACTTGTACCAGAATGACAGGAAGAGAAGAGTATGGAGAAGGGAAGGAACTGCTCATGATCCGAAGCATACCACCTCATCTGTGAAGCATGGTGGAGGTAGTGTTATGGCGTAGGCATGTATGGCTGCCAATGGAACAGGTTCCCTTGTATTTATTGATGATGTGACTGCTGACAAAAGCAGCTGGATGAATTCTGAAGTGTTAAGGGCTGTATTATCTGCTCAGATTCAGCCAAATGCTTCAAAACTCATTGGACGGCGCTTCACAGTGCAGATGGACAATGACCCGAAGCATACTACGAAAGCAACCCAATACTTTTTTAAGGCAAAGAAGTGGAATGTTCTGCAATGGCCAAGTCAATCACCTGACCTGAGTCGAATTGAGCATGCAGTTCACTTGCTGAAGGCAAAACTGAAGGCAAAACACCCCAAGAACAAGCAGGAACTGAAGACAGCTGCAGTAAAGGCAGAGCATCACCAGGGAGGAAACCCAGCATCTGGTGACGCCTGTGGTTTCCAGACCCAGCATCAGGTGATGCCTGTGGGTTCCAGACCCAGCATCTGGTGATGCCTGTGAGTCCCAGACCCAGCATCTGGTGATGCCTGTGGGTTCCAGACCCAGCATCTGGTGATGCCTGTGGGTTCCAGACCCAGCATCTGGTGATGCCTATGGGTTCCAGACCCAGCATCTGGTGATGGCTGTGGGTTCCAGACCCAGCATCAGGTGATGCCTGTGGGTTCCAGACCCAGCATCTGGTGATGCCTATGGGTTCCAGACCCAGCATCTGGTGATGCCTGTGGGTTCCAGACCCAGCATCAGGTGATGCCTGTGGGTTCCAGACCCAGCATCTGGTGATGCCTGTGGGTTCCAGACCTAGCATCTGGTGATGCCTATGGGTTCCAGACCCAGCATCTGGTGATGCCTGTGGGTTCCAGACCCAGCATCAGGTGATGCCTGTGGGTTCCAGACCCAGCATCTGGTGATGCCTGTGGGTTCCAGACCCAGCATCAGGTGATGCCTGTGGGTTCCAGACCCAGCATCAGGTGATGCCTGTGGGTTCCAGACCCAGCATCAGGTGATGCCTGTGGGTTCCAGACCCAGCATCTGGTGATGCCTGTGGGTTCCAGACCTAGCATCTGGTGATGCCTATGGGTTCCAGACCCAGCATCTGGTGATGCCTGTGGGTTCCAGACCCAGCATATGGTGATGCCTGTGGGTTCCAGACTTCAGGCAGTCATTGACTGCAAAGGATTTGCAACCAAGTATTCAAACTCACAATTTAATTGACGATTATCTTAGTTTGTCCAATTACTTTTGAGACCCTGAAATTGGGTGGCTGTGTATAAAATGGTTGTATTTCCTACACGGTTCAGACAATCATTTTGACAAAACCCTTAAATGAAAGATGAAAGTCTACACTTAAAGCACATCTTGATTGTTTCCTTTCAAATCCATTGTGGCGGCCTACAGAGACAAAATGATGCAAATTGTGTCACCGTCCAAATACTGATGGACCTGACCATATGGCCTGTCATCTATCTGTCATCATCAGTTACTACCTGGTGATGGAGATGTGTCCTGTCATCTATCTGTCATCATCAGTTACTACCTGGTGATGGAGTTGTGTCCTGGAGGAAACCTGATGAACCGGATCTACGATAAGAAGAAGCTGGACGAGAGAGAGACGCAGAAATATGTACGTCAGCTGGTGATGGCTGTGGAACATCTACACAGGGCCGGAGTGGTGCACAGGTAAGGGGGACACACAGACACACACACACACACACACACGGACACGCGCACACACACACACACACACACACACACACACGCGCACACACACGCGCACACACACACGGACACGCGCACACACACACACACACACACACACACGGACACGCGCACACACACACACACACACGGACACGCGCACACACACACACAGACACGGACACGCGCACACACACACAGAGAGACATAGATGCACACAAACACATGGACACACACACACATAAGGACGCGCACGCGCACACACATACACACATACGGACAGACACACACACACACACACACACACACACATACACACACACAAGGACACAAGGACACACATAAGGACACACGCACGCACACACACACACACACACACACACACACACACAGAGAGACATAGATGCACACAAACACACAAGGACACACATAAGGACACACGCACGCACACACACACACACACACACACACACACACACACACACACACACACACACACAGAGAGAGACATAGATGCACACAAACACATGGACACACACACACACACACACACACACACACATAAGGACACGCGCGCACGCATACGCACACGCACACACAAACACCCCCACACACACACACACACACACACACACACACACACACACACACACAGAGAGACATAGATGCACACAAACACATGGACACACACACACATATGGACACGCGCACACACATACACACACACAGATTTTCAGCAAAGTATCAGCATATGCCATCTCTAATTACACCATTTACTAATTGACTCTAATAGGGAGGAAAGCCAGAGTGATAAAGACTATATTATTCATACACTGCTCAAAAAAATAAAGGGAACACTAAAATAACACATCCTAGATCTGAATGAATGAAATAATCTTATTTAATACTTTTTTCTTTACATAGTTTAATGTGTTGACAACAAAATCACACTAAAATTATCAATGGAAATCAAATGTATCAACCCATGGAGGTCTGGATTTGGAGTCACCCTCAAAATTAAAGTGGAAAACCACACTACAGGCTGATCCAACTTTGATGTAATGTCCTTAAAACAAGTCAAAATGAGGCTCAGTAGTGTGTGTGGCCTCCACGTGCCTGTATGACCTCCCTACAACGCCTGGGCATGCTCCTGATGAGGTGGCGGATGGTCTCCTGAGGGATCTCCTCCCAGTCCTGGACTAAAGCATCCGCCAACTCCTGGACAGTCTGTGGTGCAACGTGGCGTTGGTGGATGGAGCGAGACATGATGTCCCAGATGTGCTCAATTGGATTCAGGTCTGGGGAACGGGCGGGCCAGTCCATAGCATCAATGCCTTCCTCTTGCAGGAACTGCTGACACACACCAGCCACATGAGGTCTAGCATTGTCTTGCATTAGGAGGAACCCAGGGCCAACCGCACCAGCATATGGTCTCACAAGGGGTCTGAGGATCTCATCTCGGTACCTAATGGCAGTCAGGCTACCTCTGGCGAGCACATGGAGGGCTTTGCGGCCCCCCCAAAGAAATGCCACCCCACACCATGACTGACCCACCGCCAAACCGGTCATGCTGGAGGATGTTGCAGGCAGCAGAACGTTCTCCACGCCGTCTCCAGACTCTGTCACGTCTGTCACATGTGCTCAGTGTGAACCTGCTTTCATCTGTGAAGAGCACAGGGCGCCAGTGGCGAATTTGCCAATCTTGGTGTTCTCTGGCAAATGCCAAACGTCCTGCATGGTGTTGGGCTGTAAGCACAACCCCCACCTGTGGACGTCGGGCCCTCATACCACCCTCATGGAGTCTGTTTCTGACCGTTTGAGCAGACACATGCACATTTGTGGCCTGCTGGAGGTCATTTTGTAGGGCTCTGGCAGTGCTCCTCCTGCTCCTCCTTGCACAAAGGCGGAGGTAGCAGTCCTGCTGCTGGGTTGTTGCCTTCCTACGGCCTCCTCCACGTCTCCTGATGTACTGGCCTTTCTCCTGGTAGCGCCTCCATGCTCTGGACACTACGCTGACAGACACAGCAAACCTTCTTGCCACAGCTCGCATTGATGTGCCATCCTGGATGAGCTGCACTACCTGAGCCACTTGTGTGGGTTGTAGACTCCGTCTCATGCTACCACTAGAGTGAAAGCACCGCCAGCATTCAAAAGTGACCAAAACATCAGCCAGGAAGCATAGGAACTGAGAAGTGGTCTGTGATCACCACCTGCAAAACCAGTCCTTTATTGGGGGTGGCTTGCTAATTGCCTATAATTTCCACCTGTTGTCTATTCCATTTGCACAACAGCATGTGAAATGTATTGTCAATCAGTGTTGCTTCCTAAGTGGACAGTTTGATTTCACAGAAGTGTGATTGACTTGGAGTTACATTGTGTTGTTTAAGTGTTCCCTTTATTTTTTTGAGCAGTGTACTTTAGACTTTGATAACATTTGGCCCGAGTCAAGTGCAACACAGTGGTGGCCCATTTCAGATCGGGGGAACAAATGTAACACATTTTCCATTCATAATTAAAAAAACTAAAGCAGAAATCTCTATATGGGAAGATCTGAGGTTGATTGTTGGCTAGCCTGTGCCATTAAACCCCTACAACTCATCCAGAATGAGTTGTTGAACACCAGCCCGTCTGGTGTTCAACCTTCCCAAGTTTTCTCACGTCACCCCCCTCCTCCACACACTCCACTGGCTTCCAGTTGAAGCTCGCATCCGCTACAAGACCATGGTGCTTGCCTATGGAGCAGTGAGGGGAACGGCACCTCTGTACCTTCGGGCTTTGATCAGTCCCTACACCCAAACGAGGGCATTGCGTTCATCCACCTCTGGCCTGCTGGCTCCCCTTCCTCTGCGGAAGCATAGTTCCCGCTCAGCCCAGTCAAAACTGTTCGCTGCTCTGGCACCCCAATGGTGGAACAAGCTCCCTCACGACGCCAGGACAGCGGAGTCACTCACCACCTTCCGGAGACATTTGAAACCCCACCTCTTTAAGGAATACCTGGGATAGGATAAAGTAATCCTTCTACCCCCCCCCCCCCCCCAAAAAAAAATTGTAAAGTGGTTATCCCACTGCCTATAGGGTGAATGCACCAATTTGTGAGTCGCTCTGTTTAAGAGCGTCTGCTAAATGACGTAAATGTGCCCTTGAGCAAGGCACTTAACCCTAATTGCTCCTGTAAGTCGCTCTGGATAAGAGCGTCTGCTAAATGACTAAAATGTAAAATGTAAAATGTAAATGAATCAAAGTAGTATGGGGATATCAACATATAGAGATGGTCTATGTAGATACAGTTGAACACACACACACACACACACACACACATACATAGTTGAACAAGATTAATATAAGACTAGGGGGTCAGAAGAGACAATAGGATTCAACTGGAAACAACTGGAAGCAACTGGAATCAACTGGATTCAACTGGAAGCAACTGGAAGCAACTGGAATCAACTGGATTCAACTGGAAGCAACTGCCACGACACACATTGACAGGTGGTCACAGTGTGTGTGTGGTGACTGTGCTGATAAGGTCCTATGTAAACCCTGGTGATATGTAAACCCTGGTGATATGGTAAACCCTGGTGATATGGAAAGCCTGGTGATATGGAAAGCCTGGTGATATGGAAACCCTGTTGATATGGACACCCTGGTGATATGGACACCCTGGTGATATGGAAACCCTGGTGATATGGAAACCCTGGTGATATGGAAACCCTGGTGATATGGAAACCCTGGTGATATGGAAACCCTGGTGATATGGAAACCCTGGTGATATGGAAACCCTGATGATATGTAAACCCTGGTGATATGGAAAGCCTGGTGATATGGTAACCCTGGTGATATGTAAACCCTGGTGATATGGAAACCCTGGTGATATGGAAACCCTGGTGATATGAAAAACCCTGGTGATATGGAAAGCCTGGTGATATGGAAACCCTGGTGATATGGAAAGCCTGGTGATATGGAAACCCTGGTGATATGGAAACCCTGGTGATATGTAAACCCTGGTGATATGGTAACCCTGGTGATATGTAAACCCTGGTGATATGGAAACCCTGGTGATATGGAAAGCCTGGTGATATGGAAAGCCTGGTGATATGGAAACTCTGGTGATATGGTAACCCTGGTGATATGGAAACCCTGGTGATATGGAAACCCTGGTGATATGGAAACCCTGGTGATATGGAAACCCTGGTGATATGGGAAGCCTGGTGATATGTAAACCCTGGTGATATGTAAACCCTGGTGTTCTGTGTTGTGTTGACCTCTATGTGTCTGTCTCACAGGGACCTGAAGATTGAAAACCTGCTGTTGGATGAACAGGACCACATAAAGCTCATAGGTATCTCTACACCCCAACCAACTGTTCACTTAAAACAACCCCTAATGTGTCACTCTGTGTGTGTGTGTGTATCTTATCTGTAACGAAGTCAGCTACAAAAGTTCCAATCCCACGACAGGAAGAGATAAAGCTTGAACTATTCCAGGAGTTAAAGTTCTCCGCTAAACAAACAGACAGAAGATGACAACAGGATATTTCAGGGGTGGCACGTGAAGGGAAGGTGGGTGGTTGTGTTGGGGTATGAATAAGTGACTGACAGACAGAATGGTTGTAAAAAAACACAATCATCGATAATATCTAGATCTTCTCTAGAATAATCAGATAGAGCTCTCTAGAGAAGAGATGCTAAGAGACGAGAGAGAGCACGAGAGAGAGAGAGAGCCGAAACTAGAGACAATATAGGATATATCGTATATCTTCTCTCATCTCTATCTCTCTCTCTCGCTATCTGATCTCTCTCTCTATCTCGCTCTCTCTCTCTCTCTCTCTCTCTCTCTCTCTCTCTCTCTCTCTCTCTCTCTCTCTCTCTCTCTCTCTCTCTCTCTCTCTCTCTCTCAAACCCCCCCTCCGAAATGACATTCAGAACCTCTCTCCTCTCCTGTAGATTTTGGTCTCAGTAACTGTGCAGGAATCCTGGGTTATTCAGACCCGTTCAGTACCCAGTGTGGGAGCCCAGCCTATGCTGCTCCAGAACTACTGTCCCGCAAGCAGTACGGACCCAAGGTGGACGTCTGGTCCATGTGAGTACACAAACCACACAACTGAAAGGTTTTACACACAACAGTTTACAAGATACACGTTTCATGTCAACAGTTTACAACATACACGTTTCATGTCAACAGTTTACAACATACACATTTCATGTCAACAGTTTACAACATAAATATTCTAGACTGTAAACAGTCAACCTTTTTTATATCAGATTAAATACCCTTCTGGACCGTAAACAGTAGATTGTATTTCTCTCTGAGAATAAATACACTTCTAGACTGTAAACAGTCAACCTTATTTCTCTCTGAGAATAAATACACTTCTAGACTGTGAACAGTCAACCTTATTTCTCTCTATCAGAATAAATACACCTCTAGACTGTAAACAGTCAACCTTATTTCTCTGTCAGAATAAATACACTTCTAGACTGTGAACAGTCAACCTTATTTCTCTATCAGAATAAATACACTTCTAGACTGTGAACAGTCAACCTTATTTCTCTCTATCAGAATAAATACACCTCTAGACTGTAAACAGTCAACCTTATTTCTCTGTCAGAATAAATACACTTCTAGACTGTGAACAGTCAACCTTATTTCTCTGTCAGAATAAATGCACTTCTAGACTGTAAACAGTCAACCTTATTTCTCTGTCAGAATAAATACACTTCTAGACTGTGAACAGTAAAGACATCTATACAATCTACTAGATAACCTCTCAACCAGTTGACTAGAACTCATTTTTTATGAGATGCATTATTGGCTAGGTGAGTGTATAGTTTGTTGTACGCAGGTGTGTAACGTTGTCTGTCCCTTACAGAGGAGTGAACATGTACGCCATGCTGACGGGCACCCTTCCCTTCACCGTGGAGCCCTTCAGTCTCAGGGCTCTGCACCAGAAGATGGTGGACAAGGATATGAACCCTCTACCGCCCTCTCTCTCTACAGGTACACACAGAGACACACACACAGAAACATGCACACAGAGACACACACAGAAACAAATGTACCAAAACAAGTGCCGGGCGGCTGTTTTGTTGTTTTTTAAATCCCAGAATGTAGCTGTAAAAAACTATCTACCACAGGACCATGGGGAGAAGAGACGCACGCGAGAGCGAAAAGCGGGCGAGAACGGAGAGGGCAAAACTAAGGCATGCAGGGGAAGAGGGAGAGGAAGAGGCGAGCAGAGAAAGCGAGACCATCAAAGGAGCTAGAGAGACGAGATGCTATAGTGCCCTACTCTGAGCCCGGTAAAAGACCCTACTGCTCTCACTCTCCCACTTCGCTATGCTCCCCTTCGCTCTCTCTCTCTCTCTATCTCTCCCTCTCTCTCCCCCTTCTCTCTTCTCATCTCTCTCTCTCTCTCCCTCCACAGCAGCCATCTGTCTAATGAAGAAGCTGTTAGAACCAAACCCAGCTAAGAGACCCAACATCCACCAGGTCATGGCTGACTCCTGGCTACAACTGGCTAACGCTAACACTGGAGCACCCTACCTCAACAGGTACACACACACACACACACACACACACACACACACACACACACACACACACACACAGGTCGGATGGCTAACCTCTCTCTCTCTATAGGATCCACATTGAGGAGATCAACCACATGGTATTGCTCCATATGACAGAGAGGATGGGTTATAAACACAGCGAGGTGCTGAGTGCCGTGCTGACCAACAGAGCCTGTCACACCCTGGCTGTCTACTTCCTGCTCAGCAACAAGATGAAGAGGCTCTCCAAGGAGTACAGGGTAGGTTATCACACAACACCTGAACAGTACAGGGTAGGTTATCACACAACACCTGAACAGGACAGGGTAGGTTATCACACAACACCTGAACAGGACAGGGTAGGTTATCACACAACACCTGAACAGGACAGGGTAGGTTATTACACAACACCTGAACAGTACAGGGTAGGTTATTACACAACACCTGAACAGTACAGGGTAGGTTATCACACAACACCTGAACAGGACAGGGTAGGTTATCACACAACACCTGAACAGGACAGGGTAGGTTATCACACAACACCTGAACAGTACAGGGTAGGTTATCACACAACACCTGAACAGGACAGGGTAGGTTATCACACAACACCTGAACAGGACAGGGTAGGTTATCACACAACACCTGAACAGGACAGGGTAGGTTATCACACAACACCTGAACAGGACAGGGTAGGTTATCACACAACACCTGAACAGGACAGGGTAGGTTATCACACAACACCTGAACAGGACAGGGTAGGTTATCACACAACACCTGAACAGGACAGGGTAGGTTATCACACAACTGGTTATCACACAACACCTGAACAGGACAGGGTAGGTTATCACACAACACCTGAACAGTACAGGGTAGGTTATCACACAACACCTGAACAGGACAGGGTAGGTTATCACACAACACCTGAACAGGACAGGGTAGGTTATCACACAACACCTGAACAGGACAGGGTAGGTTAGGGTAAACACCATGGCGTTAATAATAATAATATAATAATATGCCATTTAGCAGACGCTTTTATCCAAAGCGACTTACAGTCGTGCGTGCATACATTTTTGTGTCGGTACATGCCGATCCTTTGTTGTCCATCCTAATACTATGGAAGAGATGACAACGAGCTGCTAATTCAATCTGGACAAGATAATAACAGGACTGGTCATTCACTAGCAACACATCTGGACAAGATAATAACAGGACTGGTCATTCACTAGCAACACACATAGCAACAAGACAAAAGCACAACAAAACAGAACAGCAGAATTAACCAAAATAGATCAGAACACTTGAGACTTTAAATATCTGTAGAACAACGTTGTTATTCCCTGAAAACACCTGTTAATAGTAGGAGCTTATTGTAATGATATTCTCTGCACGAAAAGCAGTAGGCCTAACTCTAGAATAACGCTTGAATGATGTTGTAATAATGTTTTTATAACATTGTAAAGTAAGTCTTGTCTGAGCCAGACCAGCTCATAGGGCAGGAGCCTATCTCCAGTTTCTGTAGTGAGACAGCTTGATGTACAGCCCACCCCCTGGACAGGACACTAGTCTATCTCCAGTTTCTGTAGTGAGACAGCTTGATGTACAGCCCACCCCCTGGACAGGACACTAGTCTATCTCCTGTTTCTGTAGTGAGGTAGCTTGATGTACCAGTACACCCCCTGGACAGGACACTAGTCTATCTCCTGTTTCTGTAGTGAGGTAGGTTGATGTACCAGGACACCCCCTGGACAGGACACTAGTCTATCTCCTGTTTCTGTAGTGAGACAGCTTGATGTACCAGTACACCCCCTGGACAGGACACTAGTCTATCTCCTGTTTCTGTAGTGAGACAGCTTGATGTACCAGTACACCCCCTGGACAGGACACTAGTCTATCTCCTGTTTCTGTAGTGAGACAGCTTGATGTACAGGACACCCCCTGGACAGGACACTAGTCTATCTCCTGTTTCTGTAGTGAGACAGCTTGATGTACCAGTACACCCCCTGGACAGGACACTAGTCTATCTCCTGTTTCTGTAGTGAGACAGCTTGATGTACAGTACACCCCCTGGACAGGACACTAGTCTATCTCCTGTTTCTGTAGTGAGGCAGCTTGATGTACAGGACACCCCCTGGACAGGACACTAGTCTATCTCCTGTTTCTGTAGTGAGACAGCTTGATGTACAGTACATCCCCTGGACAGGACACTAGTCTATCTCCTGTTTCTGTAGTGAGACAGCTTGATGTACCAGTACACCCCCTGGACAGGACACTAGTCTATCTCCTGTTTCTGTAGTGAGGTAGCTTGATGTACAGGACACCCCCTGGACAGGACACTAGTCTATCTCCTGTTTCTGTAGTGAGGTAGCTTGATGTACAGGACACCCCCTGGACAGGACACTAGTCTATCTCCTGTTTCTGTAGTGAGACAGCTTGATGTACCAGTACACCCCCTGGACAGGACACTAGTCTATCTCCTGTTTCTGTAGTGAGACAGCTTGATGTACAGTACACCCCCTGGACAGGACGCTAGTCTATCTCCTGTTTCTGTAGTGAGACAGCTTGATGTACAGTACACCCCCTGGACAGGACGCTAGTCTATCTCCTGTTTCTGTAGTGAGACAGCTTGATGTACAGTACACCCCCTGGACAGGACGCTAGTCTATCTCCTGTTTCTGTAGTGAGACAGCTTGATGTACAGTCCACCCCCTGGACAGGACACTAGTCTATCTCCTGTTTCTGTAGTGAGACAGCTTGATGTACAGTACACCCCCTGGACAGGACACTAGTCTATCTCCTGTTTCTGTAGTGAGACAGCTTGATGTACAGTACACCCCCTGGACAGGACACTAGTCTATCTCCTGTTTCTGTAGTGAGACAGCTTGATGTACAGTACACCCCCTGGACAGGACACTAGTCTATCTCCTGTTTCTGTAGTGAGACAGCTTGATGTACAGTACACCCCCTGGACAGGACACTAGTCTATCTCCTGTTTCTGTAGTGAGACAGCTTGATGTACCAGTACACCCCCTGGACAGGACACTAGTCTATCTCCTGTTTCTGTAGTGAGACAGCTTGATGTACAGGACACCCCCTGGACAGGACACTAGTCTACAGCAGGGCCTTACCCCCAATCTATCCCTTTATGCTGAGTGCCAAGCAGAGACACATCCGGTCCCATTTTTGGTGTGACTCATCCGGGATCGAACCCCCAACCTTCCAATCTCAGGTTGGACACTTTAACCACAAGGCCACTAAGTTATGTTAATAGTACATAATAAAGTTGTAATAACATTTTAATAACGTTTCTGTCCTCCAGGAAAAGCAGTACCAAGTTGTATAAACGTTGTAATAACGTTTCTGTCCTCCAGGAAAAGGTGTACCAAGAGAAAGAGAAGAAGACAGAGAAGAAGGAATACTTCCAGACCCAGTGGAGGAAACACATAGAGAAGGTCACCATCCCTCCTAAACAGACTCCTGTCTACCTGGCCGTCAGCAAGGGCCCTAGCAAGGAGAAGAAACACAGGAATGG